TTTTCCTTCCTTCCTTCCTTCCTTCCTTCCTCCCTCCCTCCCTCCCTCCCTCCCTTCTTTCCTGCACAGTGGCTAGAATGCTCACTCCAGGAGTTTAATCCTGACCAGCTCAGGGTTAACTCAACTTTCCATCCTTCCAAGGTCAGTAAAATGAGGACCCAGATTGTTGGGGGCAACAGGCTGACTCTGTAAACCGCTTAGAGAGGGCTGTAAAGCGGTATATAAGTCTAAGTGCTATTGCTTTTGTGACAGACGGACAGACAGATAGGAGCTGTGGTGGCACAGTAGTTATTGCAGGCAAACTCTGCCCATAGCCAGGAGTTCAATCCTGACCAGCTCAAGGTTGACTCAGCCTTTCCATCCCTCCGAGGTCGATAAAATGAGGACCCAAATTGTTGGGGCAACAGACTGACTCTGTAAACCGCTTAGAGAGGGCTGGAAAGCACTGTGACAGAACACAATGTTGCTAATTTCCGGCAAGATCTGTTTAACTTAATTAAAGCGTACACTGATCAGGGCACAAAGGGCAGGGATACGTATGTGTTGTGGTCTGCATGTCACCACAATTGCAAAGAGCAGAAGTCACCGGATACTCCCAGTGATTTCATGGACACTTCAGGACAGGACAAACATACACAGGTCTTTTGCTCTTGCCTTCTTCTTCCAGGACGCTTTCTCAATGTCCTGTTCTACATCCCACCCCAGAATTTAACAGACTAACAGAGTTGGAAGGGACCTTGGAGGTCCTCTAGTCCAACCCCCTGCTCAAGCAGGAGACCGTACACCATTTCAGACAAACGGCTGTCCAATCTCTTCTTGAAAACCTCCAGTGATGGAGCACCCACAACTTCTGGAGGCAAGCTGTTCCACTGGTTAATTGTTCCCACTGTCAGGAAATTCCTCCTTAGTTCCAGCTTGCTCCTCTCCTTGATTAGTTTCCATCCGTTGCTTGTTGTCCTGCCTTCAGGTGCTTTGGAGAACAGCTTGATCCCCCTGTTCTTTATGGCAACCCCTTAGATATTGGAGCAGTGCTTTCCAGTCACCCCTAGTCCTAGAGGACCCCTTGGACTAGACAACCTCCAAGGTCCCTTTCCAGCTCTGTTATTGTGTCCTTCCCAAGGCTCTGCAGCTTTTTTTACAGCCCCACCAACTGCAATCTAGCAGGTTAAATGATTTTAGCCGCCCAGTTTATTAAAAGTGTCAAGTGCCCGCTCCGGTTCTTTTCCTGTTCGGCAGGGCTGTCAGAGGGAATAATTGACAGTGGCGGCTGTTCGGAGAGTGTTTAGACGGTGCAGGATGATGGCCCTTGACGGACAGCTCTGCACAAAGGAAGGGAAAGGCTAGAGGTGGGATCCATGCTGGGGTCCCCCCAAGAAGCATCTTCCTTAGAAGGAGAAAAAAAATGTGGGAAAATGCAAAAGTTGCTCTCGGCAAAACAGACTCTCCAAGCCCAAAGCAGAATTTCAAATGCTGCTTTCTCGAATCCATCGCCTTCTTTCTGTTGCTTGGGAAAGCCGTAGGTTGCCCCAAATTTATTTATTTATTTATTTATTTATGAGACTTATATACCGCTTTAAGTGCAAGCACTCCCTAAGCGGTGTACACCAGTAAGCAATGTATATATATATTTACATTGCCCCCAACAATTTGGGTCCTCATTTTACCTACCTCGGAAGGATGGAAGGCTGAGTCAACCTTGAGCCGGTGAGATTTGAACCGCTGACCTGCTGAACACAGTCAGCTAAAGTGGCCTGCAGTACTGCACTCTAACTGCTGCGCCACCTCGGCTCTATTCTATTCTATTCTATTCTATTCTATATTTCTATTCTATTCTATTCTATTCCTATTTTAATTCTATTCTGTTCCTATTTTAATTCTATTCTATTCTCTGTTCTCTATTCTCTCTATTCTCTCTTCTCTCTTACCTCTTCTATATTCTCTCTTCTATATTCTATTCTATTCTATTCCTATTCTATTCTATTCTACTCTACTCTACTCTACTCTACTCTACTCTACTCTACTCTACTATCTCCATTGCTATCTATCCATGTTTACATCACCGTGGGATATTCATGTCCTTCCCTCGGCCGTCTGGGGGATTCATTTTCCACCCTTTCTGCCTGTTAAATCACCATCTCTATTTCATTAAAGGCCCCTCTTAGTTCCATGATGGTTAATTCCAGTTATAGACTTGGTAATAGAGTAGAAGCTGGAAGGGACTTTGGAGGTCTTCTAGTCCAGCCCCCCGCTTAAGCAGGAGAACCTATACCATCTCAGACAAGTGACTGTCTAGTCTCTTCTTAAAAACCTTCATTTATGGAGAGCCCATGATTTCTGGTGGCAAGCTGTTCCACTGGTTAATTGTCCTCACTGTTAGGAAGTTTCTCCTTAATTCCAGGTTGCTTCTCTCTTTGTTCAGTTTCCAACCACTGTTTCTCATCCTTCCCTCTGGTGCTTTGGAGAATAATTGGACCCCCTCATCTTTGTGGCAGCCCCTCAAATACTGGAATACTGCTATCATGTCTCCCCCATTTCTTCTTTTCTTTAAACTAGCCAGACCCAAGTCCTACAGCCGGTTTTTGTATGTTTTAGTCTCCAGGCCTTGGATCATCTTAGTTGCTCTTCTCTGGATTTTTTCTAGTTCCACTGTAGTTATGAATATGAGTTAACTGCCAACTCACTTAACAAATTCTCATTTAACAACAGAAATGTTGGGCTCCAATGTGGTTGTACGTTGAGGACTACCTGTATCTTATCCCATGGTGGAAATAGCCCTTTGGTGCCAGCGTCCACTCCGTGGAACGATGAGAATTGCAACTCTTCTCTACTCAGTGGAAATCTCACTGAGAGAAACGTGTTGTTCAGATGTTGCAATGAAAAGAGGCAGGATTGATAGAAAGCCACATGTTGACTCTGGTGGAGACACATCCAGTGGGATGTAGGAGATAACATGGTGCCTTTTTGTTAAGGAGCATTTGGTGCTCCATCCCTCTTTTCCTTCCTTCCTTCCTTCCTTCCTTCCTTCCTTCCTTCCTCCCTCCCTCCCTCCCTTCCTTCCTTCCTTCCTCCCTCCCTCCCTCCCTCCCCCCCTCCCTTCTTTTGCTATCTCTCTTATACCTTCTTCCAATGGTGGGATTCAAATATGTGAACAACCAGTTCTCTGCGTGGATGCTGCTTCCAGAAATCCATTCTGGGCCTGGGCAACAAAAAATTAGCTACCAGTTCTGCCAAACTGGTACGAACTGGCTGAATCCCAACACTGCCTCTATCCCTCTTTTCCTTCCTTCCTTCCTTCCTTCCTTCCTCCCTCCCTCCCTCCCTCCCTTCTTTTGCTATCTGTCTTATGCCTTCTTCCAGTGGTGGCATTCAAATATGTGAAAAAACGGTTCTCTATGTGGATGCCGCTTCCAGAATTCCGTTGTGGACCTGGGCAACAAAAAATTAGCGACCGGTTCTGCCGAAGTGGTGTGAACTGGCTGAATCCCAACACTGGTTTTACCTCTCGTTGACATCTGTCCTACCAGGAAAAAAAAAAAGTGATCTCAGTGACATGTTTCTTGATTCAAGCATCTTCTGGGAAGGTGGTTAGCTAATGAGCAAAGTGGTCTACTGGAGTTAGGAAGAAAGGGAAAAGTCGGTGGGCTCTAATCCCTGATGAAGTTTGTGCCAAGACCCAATTCCTGATCACTGTCAAGAATGCTTGCGACGGAAAAGAGCTGAAGCTGATGTGAATCCAGCTTTAATTAAGGTTGAAATATTGGAGTTGACTGCTGAGTCTTTGGCAAATTAGCTCAAGTGTATTATTGTGGCAGAAATTAACTGCTCTAGGACTTGGGGAAAACGAACTGCACTGCTGCCTTTGCGGGGTTTCTGTAGAAGCGCCAGCTGGTTTAGAAGCGGGCTAGAAATCAAGAATGCAGAATTGGGAACATCAGATGCCAGGATGGAACTAGAAACTCTGGACATGTAATCTCTCTCTCTCTTTTTTTTTGGAAAGCCTCCTTGGAGGCTGGTTTAATAGAGCCAGTCAGTCATCTTTGGGCCTCTTCCAAACTATAGCGATGGAAAAAGCAAAGACCATCTGTTAGGTGATTTATCTTTATGTAGTTAGCAGCAAGTTGGCCCAACAAGTATTTTGCAAAGAGGTTCACGCTGACCTGTCCAAAAAAGTAAAATGTAATTTGGCTTGCCAAATGTAAACAAGGTTTCTAGAGGTTTCCCCTGTTCTGTACCTATAAAACAAGTGGTGGGTGCTAAGCGTCTTGTGCGTATACAGTGACGGAGAAGGTTTATAATAGAATGACAGCGTTGGAAAGGGTCCTGGAGGTCTTCTAGTCTGACCCTCTGCTTAAACAGGAGACTCTTGTACCATTTCAGACAAGTGGCTGTCCGGTCTCTTCTTGAAAACGTCCAGTGTTGGAGCATTCACCGCTTCTGGAGGCAGGTTGTTCCACTGCTTAATTGTCCTCACTGTTAGGAAGTTTCTCCTTAGTTCCAGGTTGCTTCTCTCCTTGATTCGTTTCCGTCCGTTCTTTCCTGTCTTTCCTTCTGGTGCTTTGGAAAACAGGTTGACCCCCTCTTCTTTGGCGCTAGCTTTGTTTACCCTAACCTGTGGAAGACGTGAGCAGTTGTGTAGAAAGTGGGCCTTCCTAGTTTGGAGACGATGAGAACTTCCTTGGGTTTTTTTTTTTTTTCTTCCTCAAATAAATCTTCAATGAGCATCCACTCTGGTTTTAGTTTTGCTTTTGAAGCTCTCTGAGGAATTGAGGACTGCTGGGATCCATCTTAAGTTGGGGGTACGGCAAAGGATGTTGTAATGGAACAAAAAACAACAGAAGAAGAAGAAGAATAACTTTGTTTGAACGATGTGATGTTCTCCATATGTGTTGGACTTCATTCCCAGCCGGGGGGGGGGGGATCCTCAACTTCCCTTCCTTGAGCTGAGAAAAATCTTGCATGTAAATTTTGTTTCTATCCCCTCCCCTGCTTTGTTATTGTAGGTCCCACCTCGAATGACAAGGCCGAAACAAAAGCAGGAAACATCCCTAAAGTGTCTGGGCTAGAACGCAGCCAGGAACTGAACACAGACGTGCCCTTTGTTCTACCCCTCTCCAGCCCACCACCTGCCACCACAGTTGTGACGTCCAGCTCTTCTGTACTCACCTCAAGCACTCGGCCTAGCCCACTGTTGAAAAAGGAGCCGTTGATCCCAGCACCAGCACCTCCGAGGCTCACCCCTCAGCCACAGCCTCGGCCTCAGTCGCAACCTCAGCCTCGGCCACAGTCACAACCTCAGTTGTTGCCTGAGCTTCGGACACAGTTGCCAAGTCATATCCCTCCTCCTCTCGGCTACCAAGTTCATCACCAAGTGGCCCACAACGGACTCAATAATATCAGGTAGGGCCAGCCAAGGTTGATTGGAAGGCTGTGTGTGTGTGTGTGTGTGTGTGTGTGTGTGTTTTCAGTCTAGCACCCAACTCAAGGGTTTGGACAATCGTCGTTAGGTGCAAGCAATCAGAACAGCTCTGAGAATGGATCAGATATGTTTACTTTATTGTTGATCCCCCAGTTTACAAGAATCTCACCAGACTGTCTGCCTTCCCTTGGAAAAGGCCCATATTAAGGATTTGACTTCAAACCTTTCCTTCCTCCAAATCAACTCTTTAAGCTGGAATGTCTTTTAACTCCCCTAGTCAGGGCGTCCAGCCAGTGGCTCCACCACAATTGTCGTCTGGATTCCTTTCCCAAATTCCTCAAACTTTGTGAGAGCAAGAACATGGCAGTGAACATTTTTGTTGCTTGCCAACCCTTTTTCATCTCCATGCACCGGACGTGAAAATCGCCTGAGTTTTGATAGCCTTGATGGGAGTTTCCTCCAGGTTCTCTCAGCTCCTGGTGGGTCTGCTAGGTGGGGGGAAACGATTAAGGTAGAGGAGGCAATGGCTGATTTTCAGACAGAAAGTTCTGCAGGATAGTCCTCATTCTGTTCCTGAGGGAAGACCTCAGAACATCATAGTTAACCAGAGCAGAGGGTAAAATATCACGAAGGACATCAAGTTGGGAATAGTAAGTGGATCTCAGATGCATCAAACTGGAGGAGAAAGTTCAAGGAAGAGGAGACTTAAAGTCATCCAGCTAATGCTGGGCCTAATTCAGTTGGCAGGAGGAGCTGTTCTCTGGGAACCAGTGTCCAGAAATTCTAATTTTTCTGGGCGTTGAAGAACCTCAAGTAAGAGAAGAAGGCTGGTGTACACACTGCAAAAACTTGGTTTCCTTGGGGGTAGGGAGCTGGGATGCTTTCGAGAATAACGGTGTTATTTTGTAGACTATCTGGTCCTTCTCTAACCATGTTCTCCATCTCTTCCTCCTCCTCTCTCCCCCCACCCCATTCTTTTTGTTTCCTTTCGCAGCAGAAGCAGCAGCGCCAGCAGTGCCACAAGCATTAGCCTCCCCAAGCATCTTTCTCTCTCCCCGCAGATCCCGCCCCACCACTCCTCCGGCCCCGTGGTGCCCCTTTCCATCTCCAACCTTGCCGCTTCACACTTCCCTCTCCGCTCACAATCCCAACATCAGCACCATCCGGCCATGTTCGCCCCCCCTCCCACGCTGCCGCCCCCACCTCCAGCCTTGCCCACCAACAGCCTTGTGATCCCAGGTCACCCTGCAGGTAAGTTCCCACCTGCTCTCTGGATTCTCTACGAAGATAAGGTTCACCACCGCTACCTTACTTTGGAAGAGGTGCACGATTAAGTCCTCGGTCCAAGTATAGGAGTGGCCAACATGGTGGGAACCTTTTGGGAAAAGTGTACAGTAGAAATGCCACCTTTGGTTCAGTTTCCACCCATTTTTCTTCTAATTTCTTTATCACTGTAGCCTTGTTCACTTAATAATACTATTTTACATCGCTTTCTGGGCAACCGGTCAACTCTTTGCACCATGACTTTAATTTTATTAAAGCAAGCTCATTCAATGAAAGAACACAAAAAAACCCAACCAACTTGATAGCGATCACATAACATACTGACAAATGTCCTCCGCTCATCTTCAATACAGGACATCAATAACTGAATCCTACTGGGATCTGATTGGCTCATTGCCAAAACAAGATGACACCTGATTGGCTCTCTAAACTCATCTCATTGGCTACAATCAGACGAAGGAAAGCGACCTGATATCAACCTAAGCAAGTTGTGCTTCCTTTTTCTGGTTATTTGGCTATAATTTTTCATAGAATACAGTACAGATAATTGAACAAACTATGTTGCATTACATTCTTGATTAAATTATCATTCCATTGATATATAATTTTATGGTACTACTCCAAAAAAAAGTGGCGTTATTAGCAATCAAACCTCAAAAATACACTTTTCCCAAAAGGTTTCCACAATTTTGGCCACTACTGTATATGTAGATAACTTTTGGGCACAAAAGATCAGCTCCCTATGTGAAGATCCAATTAAACTGATTATTGCTAAAAGACTGTGCACAGGAATATTCTCAACTCATGCTTGGAATTGAGAACAGTGATCTCAGCTTCTGCTAGGAGTTAAATAGGGGTCAGTGGAATTCAAGAAAGGTTGTAGTTTGCTGGTGACTATGTAGGGATTCTAGGCTAATCCCCATTTTCACTCCACCTTCAGATTCTGCCACTCCTTCTCCTGCAGTAAAAAAGAGTCAAAACCAGAAAGGGAAAATGAGAAAAGAAATGAGAGCATATTTTCAGTTTTAATCTCAACTTTCTTTGAACAGAAGTAACCCCACAGGGGCTCAAAAACATAATCCCTTGAGTTGAATGTTCTACCCTGTCCACCCTCTTTTGTCTGAGTCTCTGCCTCAGATAAATAGCAGTGTACTACTGGCGCAGAGAAATGCTTAGTCCTGTGGAATTATAAAATAGGAGTAAATCAAATCTGATATCCTCCAGATGTGTGGAACTTCCTAGCCAAGATGGGAATTGGGACTTGAGCTATGAAGTTGAAGCACATGTGGGGAGAACTGGTTTGGAGAACTTTTGAGTCAGAGATGCCATTTTTCATTGAATTCCCCGATTGTACCTAACATGCAAGTTTCATCCTTCGTACTGGATGGACCATCACATTGTTTTTTCAAAAGCCTAACCGCACATCCCCTTTTTGATAATTCCTTCCAGTTGCAAAATTCTTCCAGCAAACCCTGGTTTTATGTGCCATCACTGTGGGACCCAGCGCTCATCGTTATTCATGTATGGATGCAAAACAAATTCCTCAATAACATTCACAGTTGGGAATTAATCAACGTATGCAAATGACATTTCTGTCCTTAGCAGGACAGGAGAAAATTCAGGATTGTGTCTACATACAAAGCACGGCTAAACTAGGAAATGTGGGAAAAAAAATTGCCTTGGTGGAAAGCAAATTGTTCCTCTAGAAGGCAAATAAACATAGGCAAAAAACATTCACATATGCAATAATATTATTTCCCCGTGTTCCAGTTTGGGGGCACATGCTCCCCTTGTAAAACTGGATATCTGGATTCCTGGAGGAAGCAAAGCTTTTATTTATTTTTCATTCACAACATTTTGAGAATTTCCCTGCATATTCCCTTTATAGTTTTCCATTGTCGTACGTCTACTCCTGCAGCAACTGGAAACGCTAGTGGATTTCTCCCTGTTTGTTTGTTTTTTTAATAATTTTTTATTTTTCCAAACTCTTCCCCATACACATACCGTGATATTTATCAGATGTTAACATACATTCTTTTTACATTCATATATAAGATACTTTTAATAAAATGAAATAAATACATACACATGACTTTTGGTGTTGCTCGCCCATTTCCCCTTTCACTGTATCCACACTCCTTCTTCTCTACCTTCTTTCTCCCTTTCTTCTTTTCCCTACTTCCCTCTTCTTCCTCCCGTCTTCTCTTTCCTTCAGCACTCTCCTCCCCTTTCTCCCCACTTCTCCTCTTCTCCTCCAACCTTCCTACTTCCTTCTCCCCTCCTTTACTCTTTTCTCTCTCCTCTCCTTTCTTCCCTCTCATCCCTCTTCCGATACAATTCAGGGGTAATGTCCGAGCAACTCCTCTCTCCAAATTTCCCTATCTGTATTATATACAATAAGATTAATTTTCTCTTACATTAATACTTCTATTTATCTAACCTTCTCGGTATATACTTCTATAAATATTTATACAACCTGTTGTATTTATACTCCCTGTTAATGGCCCCCCTTTCATCTGGCCTTTGACTCTATAATGGTGAAATCCAAAATAAAACAAAAAATCTAAAACACCAACAAGAAAAGAGAAAGAGATTGTAGAGCCAAAAAAGAAAGAAAAAACCTACATAGCATGGAGATTAAAGTAGATGCACACGTATGCCAAAACCTTCTCTGATTTCCTATGCAAAGCTAGCTAAGAAGCGAGAAAGAGGAGGTTGGAAAAGATTTATAACTGCTAATAGCAGTGATGCTTTTTGATTCTCTCGTTTCCTCCTTGGACGACTTTTAATTCAGATAGGAAAGAAGAGAAGAAAGTGAGCGTTGTAGGCTGAATTTCCAATCTCCGTAGGACTTGTCTTCTGGAAAATATAACTTTGCCTTCAGTCCCAGGGACTTAAGTCAGAAAGAGGTTGGACTGAATTTGTTCATCCAGAGCTTCTTCTCAGAATGGGAAGAATTATTCAATGGGACCACTCAAGGGTTGGGCAACAAGGGATGGTTAGAGGGTTCCACCTGACTTCCATGGAAGAAACTTCAACGAGAGAACCAATTTAGAGAGATGATGGCCTCTTTAATGGAAATTTTGAGGTAGAGGCTTCCTGCCTTGAGTAAGGTTGGCTATGAAGCCACCACCTTCATTTGGTTGAGCTCAGAGATCCTAGCACTGAATTATGGGTCAGGTAGCAGCCGATGACCCTCAACCTGGAACCCTGGAGAGCTGCTATCTGTTCAGGTACTTGGCAAATTGTACGACTTTAATAATAAGCCCATTTTCTGTTCACCCCCTCAAAGCTCTCAACATTGCTGTAGCGAGGAAGGTCCTAATCCAGTCTAAAGCATTAATTTGACTCAGATGCACCATTCAGGTCTCTGCCATTTGTACGCTGGTACGATCGGATGCTTCAAACCCAATTGTTCGATCGCTTTAGAAAAAAAAAAAATCCAAGCCATGAGACCGTTTATGGTCCAGAAGGAGCATTAGGAACAACCTCCTTGCTGCACAAGTCATACCACATTAATATTTCAACCGGGTATTTCCAACAACGTAAGCAATCCGGTCTTCAGGTTCAAAAAGTTGCGAGGAATTTAAATTGCTTTTATCCATAACTTGGGGAGATAATGCTCAGACGTCTGTCTCAATCGGGCTTGTAATGTGGGCTTTGCACCATCTGGAAGGGTTTTTAAAGGGTGGGTTTGAAAAGATTGGAATGCAAGGGTCTTCTGGGAGTGGGTTTGAGTTTGCGTTTGAAAGTCCCCTTCTAGAAAAAGATATAAGAATCCACCACTTAGTCATTTTCCCCTGGCCCCGTTAAGGCACAAAACAGTATATTGTTGTGCTTCACCAATGCAACTTTATCTGTCCCAGATCCTAAAATCAAAGTCACAAGGAACCATGTAGACCTTTAGGGTCCAACCTCTTATTCATTGCATGGATGAAGTTCCTCCAGAAATGTTGGTGGGGTGGAAGAAGAAATGGAGATGCTATTGGATTGCCTTTCACTCGCCCCAAATTTATTCTCCTGAAAGCAAGATCAGTCGTGTCCCTCGGGCTCTCTGGGGCTGGGCAGGGGCGGTGGGAAGGGACTGAATGTTGCTAACACCCCCCAATTTTTTTTTCTACTGTGATAACTCATGGTATTCTCTCTTGTTCTTTAGATACCAGCCTGTTGATATCATTCAACCAACCAATCATGTATTGCCAGCCTCATTCGGGGATTCTGATTGGTACATTGTCACAGGCATCTCTCTTACCTCCACCAATGAGTTCTCACGTAGAAAACCATCACAGCATGACGTGCAGAAATAGGGAATGCCAGGTGAATATTTTGAATTATTTTACTTCTACGTCTTTTGGGTGAAACTCACAGGCTGCTGGGCCCTGGTGTCTTCTTTCTTTCTTCCTTTGTTTCTTCTCTCTCTCCTTCTCTCTCTCTCTCTCTCTCTCTCTCTTTCTCTCTCTCTCTCTCCTTCTCCCTGCTCTTCTAGATCACGAACTGCTTAGGCAAGAACTGAACAATCGGTTTTTGATTCAGAGTGCGGACAGGACTGATGCTGGGGGCGGAGTTCCACCAGCACCAACACACTCACCGACACACCCATCAGCACACAATCACTCCTTTCCCATCCAGCCTGCCCCAGATGCCACACTCTGCACCTCCCCTGGTGCGTACCCCTTCCCCAAACCTGTGGATAAGTAGGAACACTTCTGGTTGACCCTGAAGGATGACCCAAACAGTTCTTCTTCTGCTAATCCAAAGGATGCCTTGCTTTTAAGATACGGTGGCGATTGCCGCTTTTCACCACAAACAAATGTGGGGTGATTTGCTGCTGCTGTTTCTTAGGGTTGCCTTTATTTTTTCTGTTTGGGGGCGGGAGGGGGAGACTGGACTCAGATTTTCTACTAAGATAGACTTGGGCATTTAGATATGTCTCTAGTCCAATGATGGCGAACCTTTTAGAGACCGCATGCCCAAACTGCAACCCAAAACCCACTTATGCATCGTTGGATGCCGGGTGGATGTGGCCCATTGGCTGGGTGTGGCCAGTTGGCTGAGTGTGGCCCATTGGGTGGGCGTGGCTGCGGTGGTAACGGCAGACTGGGTGGGACTAAAATGTTCAATCAATCAATTCCAACTTTGCAAGATCTTTTTTTTTCCCCCCGAGAAGTTGAAATTGACTGATTGATTGAACCTTTTTTTTTTTCACACGGCGGTGGAGGCCTAAAGCGAAAAGGTTTTATAAAACCCAGCTGAAGGCCTAGGACTAGGGCGACGGCATGCGTGCCCACAGAAAGGGTTCTGAGTGCCTCCTCTGGCATCCGTGACATAGGTTCGCCACCACTGGTCTAGTCTAATGAAAAGAAGGATTAAGAGGGACATGATAGTACAGTAGTGTTCCAATATTTGAGAGGCTCTCACAGAGAAGAGGAGGTCCACCTGTTCTCCAAAGCATCTGAAGGCAGGACAAGAAGCAACGGATGGAAATTAATCAAGGAGAGAACCAACTTAGAAATAAGGAGAAATTTCCCAATGGTTAGAACAATTAACAGCTTGCCTCCAGAAGTTGTGAGTGCTCCATCACTGGACGCTTTCAAAAAGAGATTGGACAGCCTTTGGTCTAGATCAGGGGTAGGCCACCGTGGCTCTTTGATGACTCGTGGACTTCAACTCCCAGAATTCCTGAGCCAGCATGGCTCAGCTTAGAAACCTCTCCCTTTCCCCTCAGCGTGGCTGGCTCAGGAATTCTGGGAGTTGAAGTCCACGAGTCATCAAAGAGCCACGGTGGCCTACCCGTGGTCTAGATGTTATAAGGTCTTCTGCTCAAGCAGAGAGTTAGACTAGGAGACCTCCAAGGTCCCTTCCATCCCTTTTGTTCTAAGCAACATGAGACTTCAGCTAACTCAAGAGGGCCCTTCATGGCGAAAAGTGTTCTTGCGCGTCGGGAAAACCCACAACCCCTTGGAATGTTCTTAACTCAAAAGGTTACCTACAGCCACCTTCCTTTGGCATTCGGCCTCTCATCCCGCCATCATAATTCAGCTGCCCCTGAAAAAAATAGGCTTCCTTCATTGCTATCCAAGTTGGTACCACCCAGTAGCGGTGGGAACATTTTTTGTTCCTCCCCTGAATGTTAATGTTTGACTTGCGGAAGCCTAGACCCCCATCAATAAGTATCTGTACTTTCAACACTGACCAACGGTGTAGGGCAGTATATTTGTTTAAGGCACGGCTGAAAGGCTAATTCAGGTATTTTGGGAGAGTCTTAACATTTCCTTCCAAAGAAGCCGGCTAGCTAGCGGGAGTCGTGCGGATTTGGTAGCCTGCCGCCGCCCACCCACTAGCAGCTTCCTGCTTTCCTGAAAATGTCACAGCCCGTTATGGATGGGTCCAAACTGTCGGTTGGAAACACAGCAACTCTTTTGACTTGGTGTGGCGGGCAAAGAGGGGAAGGCAGCTCTCTTCCCCATCCTTTTTATTTTTATTTTTATTTTTCCTTTCCGCAGCCATGCTGTGTATTTGAGGAGCTGTCTCAGAATAGCCGAAGGCCAGAATTGGAAGGGAACCTTGGAGGTCATCTAGTCCAGCCTCCTGTTCGAGCAGGAGACCCTATGCCATTTTGGACAAATGGCTTAGGCCAACCCCGTCTTAAAAACTTCCAGTGATAGAGCAGCCACTCCCAATTTTATCACAATCTATGTTACTTTACCCAGATAATTACAGAACATAGAATCAACGCGCGGGAAGGGACCTTGGAGGTCTTCTAGTCTAACCCCCTGTTCGAGCAGGGGATCCCATGCCATTTCAGACAAGTGGCCATCCAATGCTTTCTTAAAGTTCTCCTGTGGGGGAGCAGCCTCAATTTCGCAAGGCAAGCCCTTCCACTGATTAATTCTTCTCACTGTCAGGACATTTCTTCTTAATTCTAGGTTGAATCTCTCTTTAATGACCTTCCGCCCGTTACTTCTTGTCCTGCCCTCAAGTGCTTTGGAGAATTGGTCAACCCCCTCTTCTGTGTGACAGCTCCTCAAGTACTGGAAGACTGCTATCATATCATATCATATCACACAGACAGACACACACACACATGTCCTCTTCCTTAGTTCCCTGCAAAATGGGGCAAAACTCACTGCCTCGCTTAAGCAACAGAAATTTGGGGCTCCGTGGTGGTCATTAATGGGGGACACCCTGTAACTAAATAGAGGCGGTAGACTTCTTCCCCAGTCCTGCCTTTAGCAAAGGCTGGGCTCATCCTTTCTTCTCAACAGCAGTTGCAATCTCAAAGAGGGTTCAACTTTGGCAACTGTCCATATTTTATTTTGTTTTGTTTCCAGCCTCCTTCATTTGGGGGGGAAGGGAGAGCCAACCCGTGGGAAATGACACGCTGCCCTTTCTTCTCCCGCCTTGCCATCCCTTTGGCGGCACTAATCCGGCTTAACCAGGAACAAAGAAGAGTTTCACCAACCCTTAGAGTGCCTTCAGGTGTTTTGAATGTTGCCCAAGGGCCATTTTTCTCTCCTCCTCCTCCTCCTCCTCCTCCTCATCATCATCATCATCATCATCACAACAAGCTCGGCATTTTTGCTTGAAAGATGGCCCAGCCTGGAGATTTTTAAGCAGTCCCTTATCCCTCTGTACAAGCCACGCCCTGCTAATGTCCAGTGAAGAGCATTAAAATACACAGAGAGAGAGAGAGAGAGAGAATTTTGCCCCATCTTTCCACGCAGTGTCTGATCTCCCCTTCCACTCAACGAGTTTTCTTAAATCCAAAACGGGTGGCGGGGCGGAGGAAAAAAAAAATCACCAGCTGCAATGTGTTTTAGTAATTTCTGGGTATTTACACTGGAGGGTACATGACTCCGGTAATCACTGTAATTAACACAATTGCAAATCTGCTCTCCTGCATGGCGGGGAAAGGACGCACAAGGGAGCGTGACAATTTGGCTGGGGGAGGGGGGCATTTTAAGGAGACCCCCCCTTTTTTTCCCATGGTGGGACCTCTGCCTGCTGGAGGGTTAATTGTCCTTAGGATGTGATCGGAATACTAATAGGAGCGGAGGGTGTTTGGGTCAAAGGCAGCGTGGCGGGAGATTGGTTCACAGATTAAAAATAAAGAGAGGTGAAGATCCGCCATGGGTTGGCAGGCACAAAAACTCTGATTTTGCAACCTTCTGATCAAAGAGAGAAGCAATCTGGTATTAAGGAGAAACTTCCTGACAGTGAGGACAATTAACCAGTGGAACAGCTTGCCACCAGAAATCGTGGGCGCTCCATCACTGGTGGTTTTTAAGAAGAGACTGGACAGTCACTTATCTGAAATGGTATAGGGCAGGGGTAGGCAACCTTGGCTTTTTTATGACTGGTGGACTTCAACTCCCAGAATTCCTGAGCCAGCCATGCTGATGGGAGAGGTTTCCAAGCTGAGCCATGCTGGCTCAGGAATTCTGGGAGTTTAAATCCACGAGTCATAAAAGAGCCAAGGTTGCCTAGCCCTGGTATAGGTTGTCCTGGTTGAGCAGGGGGCTGGACTAGAAGACCTCCAAGGTCCCTTCCAGCTCCTATTCTATTCTATTCTATTCTATTCTATTCTATTCTATTCTACCAAGCAAAGTCAATGGGCCAGCCCAATTCACTTAGCAACCGTGTGAATAAGTTAACAACTGCCACAGTTCGCTTAACAAGGCGAATCACGTTGAAGAAAGAAAGGTGGTCAAATGGGGCACCACTCACTTAACAACCGTCCGGCTTAGCAACAGAAATTTTTTGGTCTCAGTTGTGAGGACTGCCTGAATAGGCAACAGAATTTCATTTTTAATGTGGGCCAGTGTGCCCCCAGTAAAAAAAAAAAATGGCAATAAAGGTGATCTTATCTTATAGTACTGTGGGCTGTTGACTGAGTGCCTGTCCCAGCGTCCCCCAGCAAGCTTCCAACTGAAGAGGGAGACTAGAATCTGGGGAGGGAGGACAAGCCCTGAGTCTCCCCCCTCCCAGTCCAATGCCTTCACCACCCTACTCCACTGATTTTCTCCATCAGGACGGAAGCCGTGTGCTTTGCTAAAAGGAGCCTCTTTAAAATGCTAAGCGAAACACAAGATAGCCCTCAACTTACACATTGAGTGACCGTCACAAGGGCACCGAAAAAAGTTACTTACGACCGTTTTGCACCCTTGCGGCCATTACAGCATCCCCACTGTCATAGGATCCGAATTCAGACGCTCTTTCAACCGACTCACATTTAGGACGGTTGCTGTGTCTTGAGGTCAGGTGATCCTCCTTTGAGATCTTCTGACAAAGTCAGTGAGGAAGTCGGATTTGGTTAACCATGTTGCAAATTTCACAAGTGCAGGGACTTTGGCAAGGAAGGTGGTAAAATGGGGGGGGGACAACTCACCACATGTTTCACTTAGCAACATAAACTTTGGGCGCCATTGTCATAACTCGGGGACTCCCTGTAGTAGCAACTCACCTCCTCCATGTCTATGAACTGTCCCAAACCAGCCTGTGTTTGGTGATACTTCAGTTGCATTCCCAGGTTTATACGAAACTAACCAACTTCTCTGATTTTCTGTTGTTGTTTTTTTCTAGTTCGACAAGTACGCTCCCAAGCTGGATAACCCTTACTTCCGCCATTCCAACGTAAGCGCCTTTCGTTCTTAGCCTTCTTAAAATGTGTATAGTTTGTTCCCTATTTGGCTTCTCCTCCCCCCCCCCCCGCCTGTTTGTCATGCAACAAGCTTCAGCTGCATGGGTTTTATTTACGATGAAGAAAAGAACAATTTATTAAAAAAAAAAACCCAACAACCCAGTTATTTTCATTCCTGAAGCAGTTTTTTTATTTTATTTCATTTTTATCTCGGACGTTCCCAATTCATTCTGCTTGGCTTCTGATTAAATTAGGTTCTTCTTCGGATCTAATTTCTGATGCGTTGTTTTGTTTTTTTTTACTCAGAGACTTTTAGCTCAGCCAAGTCATCTCTCTTTCTCTAGAGCACTCCAGACTTCACATTGGGGCTCATCCAGAATATCCCCCCCAAAAAATAGCAAATCAAGAAAGGTTAATATCCTGTGACTTGGCATCTGATTTTCCATACTGAGTCCAGAAGGCAAACTCATGATCATAATCAATTCAATGGCTATCAGACCGGAACTCAAAGACCTACATATTTGGGATTAAGGGAACTGTGAGCCAAAAGCAGTGTTATATAAAGCAGAGAGATAGTTAACCAAGATGAGAACAATGTGTTAGACAAATGCAGGGGGGGGTGTGGGGAAATGGTATAAAAATTGCAGAACGTTTGCCAAATTTGAGCCTCTAGTAGGCTTTCTTCATAAATAAAAAGTGGAGAAATGTCACTTTTTCATAAATGATGTCCAGATTTTTCCACTCTGCGTTGTTTTTTTTTGTTTTTTAAAGCAATGTTTCCCTCTCGTGAGTTACTGCAAAATTTTATGGAACTTTTCATCCAAGAAGCTTCTTTAGTTCTAACTGAAGAACACCATGGGTCCGTTTCCCCATCGTTCAGTTAGAACTGAAAGGGATGAGAAGCAAAACATTTTCCAAGAAAGTCCAGTTACATTTTGGGGAGGTGACAAACCTCAGTGTTATATCCCCACTTGTGGGAGCTGCTGGTTTCCACAACTTACCTTTTGAGGAATACGTTAGTCTTTGCAAGCTTGAAAAACCCATCGTGCACAATGCAGGCCCAAATTCCCCCTTGGCCTTGCCGTGACACACAAAAAGACACAACCCATGAAAGGAACAAGGGACACCAACATAAATGCCCCTTAACATCTACATTCCGTTAAAACGAAATCAACTTAATGCAATTCCACTCTTGAATTGTCCCGTTTAATTATTTCTGCCTTCCGTGGCTTGAAAAACAAAAACCAAAACCAGAATTTGGGAACAGGTTTGGCGGTTTCTGGTTCTTTGTGGTGAGCCCTTCTTCCCTAAGGATTTTAGACGTGCTTTTGAAGAATGATCTATATTTTAAGGTTAATTAACTCGGTAAATAGAGACGTCTTTACAGCCATCATTGCAAGCCTTCAGAAAGACATTCATCTCAAATATCTATTTTCTTTCCCACCCCCAGAAGTATATTTTCTTTCTAGTAATTGGTCTAATCTTCGGTGATTTTTTTTATTATTGTTATTGTTAAACTCAAGGACACTGATTTGGCTGGAGAGGGCTGACTATTACAGCTCTGACGCTGTTTTATTTCTGTTACTTTATTTGGATGGCTTTTGTAGATGGCAACGCTTAGACCACCTTGGATGATTCTGGAATTGGCCACAGATCATCCTTGAAGACGTCCTCTGCAGGGGAGCTCAAGGCTGTAGACTAACCTTGGAGGGTGAAAAAAAAAAACAACACATCACATAGGAAGGCAGTGTCAAAATACTTTAGTTGCACTGCCAATAAAACTGCACAGTGTCATCTCCAAGAGCTTAACTCAAGGATATTCCTCTATTCCTTTTTTTTTTACAACCCCACGAAAGAAGCTGGTTTAACGGAACTGCAGAATAACAAGAGCTGGAAGGGAACCTTGGAGGTCTTCTAGTCCAACCCCCTGCACAAGCAGGAGAACCCTGTCTATTCTGGACAAATGGTTGTCCTGCCTTGTCTTGAAAACCTCCAGCGATGGAGCACCCAAATTTATCATCAGTTATGCTAATGCCTGGCCCACATTTAGGAGAGGGCATCTTGCTATGGACAATGCTTTATGTTTTAATTCGTTGAAAAATGGACTCTAGGAGATACGAGAAAAAGATGCCTTTGAAAATTTGCCTTTTGCTGCCGGTTTCGTTTATCCCTTCCCCAAAATTAAAAAGTTGCGCCAGACACGTCGCCCTCCTTGACGATCCATCTGTAATGCAAATTCTCTCTCTCTTTCCCCCCCCCAGTTCTTTCCAAGTTACCCCCCAAATGTGCCAGGAATGCCTTCCATGCTCCCCCACCCAGGTCCTTTTGGATCCCTCCAAGGAGCATTTCAACCCAAGGTAAATGTTGACTGGGGTTGCTGGTCCCACTGCTTTGATTTATGTTTTTTGTGTTCTTTTTCCAAACGAATCAGGGCAGGTTTTGGACTGGCATGTCCTAAAATGTTTGTAAAAAAAAAAAAAAAATGCACACCTGTCTTTTTCCTGAATCCAGCTTTATTTTCAGAAGGGGCGTCTCTGAGCCTGTGGTTGCCCTGGGCTGTTGACGGGTGTGTTTTTGTTCATAACATGGAGACGGGGTTTGTTTTATCCTTGTTTTTCTTTTTAACCAGCTATAGTGACCCGGTTTGCACACATTCCCAAATGAAAAGAGTGCATTTCTTTGTCATATTAAGCCCGAGTCCAACAAACCTATTATAGGAGGAGGAAAAGGGAGAAGAAGAAGAGGATGAATTGATTTTTTTTTTAATAAGGGAGAATGAGGAGGAAGAGGAGAAGAAAAAGAGGTTGTTTTTTTTTTCATAAGAGCCGTGGTGGCACAGAGGTTAGAATGCAGCATTGCAGGCTAATTCTGCCCATAGCCAGGAGTTTGATCCTGACCGGCTCAAGGTTGACTCAGCCTTCCGTCCTTCCGAGGTCGGTAAAATGAGGACCCAGATTGTTGGGGGCAAATATGCTGACTCTGTAAACCGCTTGGAGAGGGCTGTAAAGCACTGTGAAGCGGTATATAAGTCTAAGGGCTATGGCAATTGCTATAGTGGGGAAGAAGAGGAAGAGAAAAGGAAGGTGAGGAGGAAGAGAGGGGGGTTTTGTCATACTGGAGGAGGAGGAGGATCAGAGACAGAAGAAGGAAGGAGAAGGAGGATGGAAGGAAGAGAGGGAAAGGGAGGAGAAGGAAGGAAGAGGAGAAGGAAGAAAGATGGAAGAAGAAGAAAGAAGGAGAAGAATGCTGGAAGTAGATTCCAAAGGCATGTGGCCAGAGTCTTAATGGGTCTAGGGTTTTTGCAGGGCAAGGGGCCTAAGGCAGTTCTCCAGTCAGCCATCAAAGTAATGGCTGCAGTGAAACCAACCAAAAACATGAGGCCATCTGTGAAATTGATCGGTTAACAGCAGCCTGTTTCCCATTAACCCTTCTCTCTCTCTCTTTCTCTCTCTCTCTCTCTCTCACTCACTCTCTCTCCCTCCCTCCCTCTCCCTCTCTTTAATAAGTTTACTCAATGTTTTTAAACCAAAAGTAAAAGCTAATGAAAACAAACATAAAGTAAGGAAGAAAAAAGAACAACAAATAAACCATAGAAAAAACTAAAAGCACAAGAAAGAAAAATATACCAAGAAATGGCTTCGGATCTTTTTAGATCCAAGATGGATGGATAGGTGATAGATGAGAGAGAGAGAGAGAGAGAGAGAGAGAGAGAGAGAGAGAGAGAGAGAGAGAGAGAGAGAGAGAGAGAGATGATAGATATAGATAGCTGAGAGAGAGAGAGAGAGAGATGATAGACTAGATAGATAGATAGATAGATAGATAGATAGATAGATAGATAGATAGATAGATAGAGATTGCTGATCGATATAGATGATTGATAGATATAGATAGCTGATAGATAGAGAGAGAGATGATAGATATAGATGGTTGATAGATATAGATAGCTGAGAGAGAGAGAGATATGATTGATAGGTATAGATAGTTAGATGATAGATAGATACAGATTTTCTATTGTGTTGAAAAATTGCATGAATAAAAGTACTCTTCTTCTTAAGAAAAGAAGAGATAAAAGAAAAATAATAATACAGGACCGAAGACCAGCTTCGATGCATTCCAGTGTCAGCCAAAGAAAGTCTCACTCAGCTGAAATCCTTTTGAAGCTCCGTAGGATTGCAACCAGCCCATAAATCCAAGCCGAGAGACAGCTTGTTTCACACAACAACGGCCATGTCACAATCTGCTCACCCTGGTTTATTGTGGAGCCCCAGCCCAGTGAATAAATCAGGGCTTAAGGAACGGCCAGGGTGCTTTGGCCCCAAACAGCCCAGTTGATTAGGAATTATTTTACGCCAACAGGATTCAGCTTCGGTTCCTAGTGACTACACAGACAGACCTTTTCTAAGCCAAAATGTGTGAATTCCATCATGGATCCTTCTTCTCTTCTCCCCCCCCCCCCCCAAACCTTCTGCTCAGCATGTGTGGAAGATACATCACGGGTTTGTAACTACCCATGAATCTTCTGCCCGGAGAATTCCCATCCTCCTTCACGGAGGTTTTTTTCTTTTTTGCTATATTTGGCAGAAGTGGGAGAAAAAGGCCGCACCTAAATTATCTTTAACTTGCTGCGAGAGAGAGGAGAGAGAGAGATCCTGATTAATCTCCTTGGAAGAGAGACAGAACGCAAATCTTCCGAGCAGAACCAAACTCTGCACAAATCATTTTAACCTTTCTTAAGGCTGAAACTCTTTCCTCCCCCCCCGGCGGACCATGACTTAAGCTCTAGATCATCCTGACAGACATGTCCGGGGAAGAGGGGGCGCTGCGGCTGCTGATGGAGTGGGGGGGGGAGGCGAGGGTGTAATGAATTCTCTCTCCCCTTGCCCTCGGAAACAAAGAGTTTGTTTTTATTTTCCTGCCTTTGGTGTCCCGTCCCCAAGGCCCCCATCTCTCAAATCCTTGCCTCGTGATCCCAGCCTGACTGCAGACCTCTGAGTTGCTTTCCCAAAGGCTGTTTCTCATGAGCTAAGAACTCAAGAAAGGTCAAAAGGATTCAATTTGCTTTGCCCAAGGAAGCTTTCCCATCTGTCTTGGGGGAGGAAGGGGGGGAAACAGAAGGGGGGGCACAGTTATCATTCACACGCTTAATGTAACGTGACCTTAAAATGCATCGCAGCTGTTATTTTTTGCCTCCCTCTCCGTCAAATATGGAGAAGAGGCCTGATCAGGCGTTCTTCGCTTGGGCGATGGAGGCGGAAGGTCTACCCCTCCCACAGCTTGGGGGACTTCATCCAGTCCTTCTTCCCCAGCTTGCCAATTTTTAAACGCCATCCTTGATCCCTCGTGGCTGACCTGTGACGGGGCCACTCCAGAAGGCTTCCTCTTTGAAAACACAGGCAGTGTTTTGGTTTGTCTTGCAGCTGTAACATCTAGGGAAACTTAACTGTTCTCGTCTTGGAGGGAAACAGGTGCTGGGTCAGGGCAAGGAAGAGGGAGTGGCTGACTCCCGAGTCCTCGTTCCATTAAAAAAAAAAAAAAGCTGGCACTGGATTCCAGGGATTACTGACTCCAGAGGCAAAACTGGAAGGACTTGGGTTGACCGTTGCAATCATTCAACAAGGCAATGCCACATAGGAAGAGGAAGGTTGTTGAGGTAGCCTTGATGGAGGGAGGAAGGAAGGAAGGAAGGAAGGAAGGAAGGAAGGAAGGAAGGAAGGAAGGAAGGAAGGAAGGAAGGACAATGGGAGAGAAGGAAGGAAGGAAGGACAATGGGAGGGAAGGAAGGAAGGAATGACAATGGGAGGGAAGGAAGGAAGAGAAAAAGAAAGAAGGAAAAGTAGGTAGGTAGGTAGGTAGGTAGGTAGGTAGGTAGGTAGGTAGCTAAAATAATCACACTTGGATTCCATTTGTAGAAGAACAGACAAAGGAAAATTCAAATAAACTTTCAAGCTTCGGTTGTTATACCCTACTACAGGGCTGTCAAACTGCTGGCCCGCAGGCCGGATGCGTCACCGGAAAACCGCGCCCGCCCCATTGCCGGCAATGGGGAAAAAGCTCCGATACGTTGCGCGACGTCATGTGACGTTGCGAGTTTGACATGTCTGCCCTACTACATTAATGTAGCATGGACTTCAGCTCCCAGAATCCTCCCGCCCTCAAGGAATGCTGGGAGTCAAAGTCCACCCATCTTAAAAGTTAGTAAGGTTGATGGTCTCCTTCCGAAAGCGGCCAACTTTGGTGGGGGCGGCCCACTCCCAGAACACAGCTTTGTGAGTCATCTTAACTACAGCATTTGACCATTTCTGAACCACTCGCGAGAGTTTCTCCCCCAATTATTTGTTTGGCTGCAAGCTCTTAAAACACCCATGTTTAAATAGAATAAATTCAAACACAGAAGTGGGATGGACTACGTTTTTATTTTTAATTACACAAGGAAGCAGAGGAGAACTGAGAATCCTTCTCTGTCCATTTAACTCTTTCTGGAAGGAATTAACGTGTCTGGAGCCGGCTGCATTTAGCTGCCCTGGGTTGATCTCAGCAAATCAAACCTGATTTAAACCATCTTTCAGTAGGCACGAGGGCTGCAGGCCAGACTGAGATGTCATAAGGGGTGGGGGGAAATCCCAGATGAAGGAAAGGATAAACCCGTTCTGCATGGCTGCCAAGACAACATCCCCATGAAGTCAGCAAGAATGGCAATTAAAAGGGACGAACATAAATGAATGAATTAAAAGAAATTCACCTGGATGCACCTGCTGCACACCTATATTTCCAAGAAAGCAAAAGTCCTTTTTAAAAAGGAGAATAGAATTGGCACCATTTCAACCCATCTGAACATACAGGTCATCCTTACAGCCACGGGCACTTTTTTCAGGGCCGTTGTAACTCTGAACGGTCACTAAATGAACTGTTCTGAAGTGGAGAACTACCTGTATTTCTTTGGTGACGAGAATGTTATCCATTCAGTTGAGTCTGACTCTTGGCGATTTTGTGGGCTGGGTCTCTCCCCATCTTCCAATCTTGCACTAATTCTTTGAGCTGTTCTGTACACTGGCTGGTGTAAGCTTTGATGGTGTCCAGCTACCCTTTTCTTTGACGGCCTGGCCTTGTTTCCTTTTACCGCTGGCTCTTCCAGAAAGATAATTGCTTTTTCCAGTGGGTTCCCCCCATGTGATATGGCCAAAGTAAATGAGAGGCAGTTTGCGTGATTTCGACTCATTGATTGATTTGTCAGCAAATGATGCTGGGCAGCTCACAATTCAAAATATTGCTCAGGGTCATCTAAATCAAATAAAGTAGAGCTGGAAAGGACCTTGGAGGTCTTCTAGTCCAGCCCCCTGCTGGAGCAGGAGAACCTATACCATCTCAGGCAAGTGAATGTCTTAAAAACCTCTAGTGGTGGCGCGCCCACGATTTCTGGTGGCAAGCTGTTCCACTGGTTGATTGTCCTCATTGTTAGGAAGTTTCTCCTTAATTCTAGCTTGCTTCTCTCTTTGTTCAATTTCCAACCATTGTTTCTCGTCCTTCCTTCTGGTGCTTTGGAGGATAATTTGACCCCCTCTTCCTTGTGGCAGCCCCTCAAATACTGGAACGCTGCTATCATGTCTCCCCTGTTTCTTCTTAGAAACCCAAGTCCCGCAGCCGTTCTTCGTATGTTTGAGTCTCCAGCCCTTGGATCATCTTAGTTCCTTCCTGTTTGCTAGCATCGCGTCGAAGCGTTGCTAGAAAGGAAAACTCACCGACGTTTTCATTTTTGTCCTTCTAGACTTCGAATCCCATTGATGTGGCCAGCAGGCCTAGCACAGTGCACCACACGCTGCTGCAGAAGACACCTGGGGTAGGTGCCGAGTTCCAGTGAGCGTCTTTCGGCTCCTCTTCGGGGCTGACGCAGGATAAACATTAACCTACCGAGGATAATTATTGAACTCATTTTGGCCTTGATTTGCAGCAGAAAAAAATATACATATGCAGGTAGTCCTCGACTTAACGGCCACAATCGAGCCCAAAATTTCCGTCGTTAAGGGAGACATTTGTAAGTGAGTTTTGCTCCGTTTTAAGACCTTTCCTGCCAAGCTTGTTAAGTGAATCACTGCAGGTGTTAAGTTAGTAGCACGGTTGTTAAATGAATCTGACCTCCCCATTGACTTTGCTGGTCAGAAGTTCGCACTGCGACCGTCGTAAATATGAATCGCTTGCCAAGCTTCTGAATTTTGATCCCAATATCACGGGGCTGGTACAAAGGTCCTAAGTGTGAAAAACGGACCTAAGTCACTTTTTTCAGTGCAGTCTGTAACTTCCAATGGTCACTAAATGAACTGTCGTAAGTGGAGGACTTCCTCGACTTACGACAGCTCATTTAGTGACCATTCAAAGAGAAAAAAGTGACTTATGAACCTTTTCCAGACTTAATGGCTGTTGCAGCATCCTCACGGTCACCTGATCAACATTGAAACGCTTGGCAACTGGCATGTACTTAAGACAGTTGCTGTGTCCCGGGGTCATGTGACCTTCTGAGAAGCAAAGTCAATGGAGGAACCATATTTGCTTAACCACCATGTGGCTAGCTTAACAACCGCAGCGATTCACTCAACAATTGTGAGAAGAAAGATGGTAAAATGAGGCAAAATTCACTGAGACAAATTCATTGTCTCACTTAGCAACAGAAACGTTGGGCTCCCTTGTGGTCGTAAGTCAAGGACCTCCTGCACTTCTTTTGTTGGCCGGCCCCATTGTTCTTTTTCGAGGCACAAGTATCAAAATTAGGAAATGTTAATTCTGCCGTGAAGAGGAAAAAAGAAGAAGAGAGGAAAATTAGATCCTTTTAAAGCCGGTCTGATTTCTGAGTTAAGGAACAGACTGGAAGCTTAAAAGAGTTTCTTGTTTTCTAAGTCTTGAGGCAATTTAACGCTGAAATAAAGAAGCAGCACTTCTGCTTCTGTGCTGGTTCCCTGGTATTTTCCACACCCTGAATTAACATTTGCCTTTCATAGTCCAGGTTACATAAAATTTTGATTGTTTTTTTTTTCTCCCTCATGTTTTCCTTAGGTGTCTGACGCCTATCGGGCTCCTGTACGAGTAAGTAAGGTTTGTCAGGGTTTTTGGTTTGTTTGTTTTTAAATCTCCTTTTTATTTTTAAAGTTTGAGAGGGGAAAATGACATGGATAAAGATGGTTTGTAATGCTTCTCTTAAAAGAACGCCCCAGTCTGATCTCCTAGTCCAGGGGTAGGCCACCTTGGCTCTTTTATGACTTGTGGACTTCAACTCCCAGAATCCCTGAGCCAACATGGGGGAACTATGGCCCCCTCATGACTCGTGGACTTCAACTCCCAGAATTCCTGAGCCAGCATGGGGGAACTATGGCTCCCTCGTGACTCGTGGACTTCAACTCCCAGAATTCCTGAGCCAGCATGGCTCAGCTTGGAAACCTCTCCCTTTCCCCTCAGCATGGCTGGCTCAGGAATTCTGGGAGTTGAAGTCCACGAGTCATAAAAGAGCCAAGATTGCCTATCCCTGGCCTAGGAAATCAAAACTTCAACCATTTGATTGAAGTGAAAAGGCACTTTTACTAAGAGAGGCTAAATGCAGTGGAGTCGGGCCGAATCTGACTCCTTGGTCCTAAACCCTTCGTCCCCTCCCAGCCCTCTCCCCATAGTCTATGTGGCCAATCTGGCAACGTCAAGAAATTTTGGGAAGTGCTAAGGTGTTTGGGCTGGTGAAATCCCGTTCTCAGGGGACGCGGCCTTGAAGACGCCAGCATGGATCAGTTCTTCCTCAACCGTCACCTCAAACTGTTCTTCCTCAACCATCAGTCCCGCCCCAATTTCCTATGAATAAATGTATACAGCTTTATTGCCCATTTGTTCCCCGTGTTGATGGCAGGGCGCCAGCGAGGCACCAAGCCGAAGATCTGACAATGGGTGAGATTATAGATTGCAGCAGGCACCGTGTCTAGCTAACCATTGTCAATTTCACTAAAAGAATCATTGTAAGTGGAGGACTCCTTGAACCCATTAGGGCAGCCTTGAAATCGAATCAAAATAATTACAGTTTGTTTAGTGACCATTTGATGTCACAACCGCACTGAAAAAAAGGTGACGTACGACCGATTTTCACACTTAACAACCGTTGCAGCATCCCTGTGGTCAGAAGTCAGACCCTTGGCATTTAACTCATATTTATGACGGTTGCCGTGTCCCGAGATCAGACAATCCCCTTTCGCAAGCTTCTGACGAACAAAGTCAATGAGGAAGCCAGATTCACTTCCCCAATTTACGACCTTTCTTGCCAGAGTTGTTAAGTGAATCACTGCCATTGTTAAGTGAGTAACAGGGTTGTTAAGTGAACCTGGCTCCCCCCCCCCCCCCCGTTGACTTTGCTTGTCAGAAGGTTCGCAAAAGGGATCACGTGACCCCCCTGGGGATACTGAAACTGTCGTAAGTACATGCCAGTTTCCCAGCATTTGAATTTTGATCACGTGACCCCGGGACACTGCCACTGCCATGAATACGAGTTAACTGCCAACTCACTGAACAAATGTCTCACTTAGCAACAGAAACTGTTGCTCATTCTGGTTGAAAGTCGAGCACTACCTGTTGCACACAAAGGACCGAGCAGTTGACACCACCGCTGTTTAAAATTAAACCCCGGTCCTTGTTTTGTTACAGAAGCCTGGAAAATGGTGTGCAGTCCACGTGCAGATTGCTTGGCAGATCTACCATCACCAACAGAAGATCAAGGTAATCGAGTATATTCAGTCAGGATCCAGCGCTTTTCTCTTCTGGCTTGGAGGCTGACGTTCCCCATTGCCGCCACCCCTGATTTGCTAAGACGTCCATTTCTCACACTGTTGCTTTCCTTTGTAAAGTGTGGGATTAATTAAGCCTTTCTCTCTTTGAAATATCTATCTCCTCTGGTGGGGCAGGGCCTCGGAGTTGCAAAACCAATCCAAGCTTTTAACCACGCAACCCAGAAGAGAAGATCAGAATACAAAATAACACAGTTGGAAGGGACCTTGGAGGTCTTCTAGTCCAACCCCCTGCTCAAGCAGGAGACCCTATCCCATTCCGGACAAATGGCTGTCCAGTCTCTTCTTGAAAACCTCCAGTGATGGAGCAGCCAGAAGAACAGGCAGCAAACTGTTCCTCCGATTAATTGTTCTCACTTGTAGGTGACTTCTCCTTAATTCTAGGTTGTATCTCTGTTTAATGATGTCATTTCTTGTCCTTCTCCTTGGGACAGGAGAAGAGGGGTTGACCTCTCTGGGAGAATAGATCATCCCTTCTTCTTTGTGACTGCCCCTCAAATATTAGAAGACGCTTGGATGTCTTCTGTGATAGAGTTATAGCTTGGAGAACATAACAGAGTAAAGCAGAGAGAGACTTAGTGGTAGTAGCCTCTCCAAAACTGAGACATCTCTAATCAGGAGACGTTAAGAGAAGGCTTACTACGGTGAGGGATAAACTCTTGAGAAACGAAAGCACATCTGTCGGTGTAAATGGCAGAATTCAGAATTTTAGCCCCAACCACAGAAGTCAACACCGTAACACCTTGTGGCTGCTTGTTGTCTGCAGAAGGCACTTGGTAAATGGGTGGGACAACGCCCAGATGTTTTGTGAAGATGGTGGTTGCAGAACTACAGCTTGAATAGGAGAAGTCGACCATCAAGGAAGTCACTTTGACACCCTCCTCCCTGTTGTCATCAACCACAATCCCTTTGTGTTTTTGTTCAGTGGTTCATTCCGCATTATTTACTGCTCTAGTGGAGTCACTGCAAGGGGTGGGGAGGGGAGAGGAGAAAAAAATTGGTCCAGTCTACTTCGTATTGAATCACTGCAGGTTCTCCTCCGATTTTCATGGGACTTGGCTTCCCGTATGAAGAGTTTAGAGAGTGATCCTTTGACCTATGGTTTGAGGAGCAGATCTACTCTTTTGTAGGCACAAGGAAAAACTGGCATGGCTCCATTTGGTTTTTGAACAGGCTTCCCTATTACAGAACTGTCGGTACCAATTTTGCCAGTGGGTTTTAAATCCAGTGGGTAAACACGGGAGAGGTTGTAACCAACATGTACATCACCAAGCCGAGAAAATGGAAATAGATCTTGAAGGCTTCTTCCTTTCCTTTCCTTTTGACAGCAGATGCAGCTGGATCCCCACAAGCTCGAAATCGGCGGAAAACTTGACCTCTTCAGCAGACCGCCAGCTCCCGGAGTCTTTCCTGGTTTCCATTATTCTCAAGATCTTGCCCGACCCCTTTTCTCCAGCACAGGTGAGGAAAATCGACATTGATGCACATGTGCCTACTCTGTTTCCTTCGAGGAAACCAACACGGGATCTTTAATGAGCTTGGCAGGTGTGTTCCTGATGCTCCAAAATACCTTCTCAGAATCAAAATCCGAAGCCCCGTGTGGCTTATAAATTATTCCTTTCCATCTGTGAATAGCCAAAGATGCACTGGGCGGTAAATCTCAATAAGGTTGGCTACAGGCAGAGAAGAGGCGGAACAAACATGGTGTGACTCAACGGAGGGAAGCATAGATTTGGATTTCCGGCATCCGAGGCTTCCTCCTGGCCTTGTTGAGCGAGAAGACAGTCAGTGAGAAACGCAGCTTCTCCAGGCTGTTGTGTTACCACCAAAAACATAAGTTATCCCAGATCCTCTTGTCCCTGGGATGGATGTACAGCTGCAAGCAAACATTGGGTTTAATAGCTCCCTGACAACCCACGGCTACATTCCTGCTTTTACTCTTGAGGAAGCCTCTTCTTCTTTCCTCCTGTTTATGATTATCAGCCCGGGGTCATCAAGTTGGAAAGATGTCTCTGTTGAAGAAATCACCCATTTGTTATGCACATTCTGATATCCTAAAGGTTTTATGGGATGACAGCCTCCATCCGTCTCAAGGAAGACCTGCAAGAGGCAAAGTACATCGATAACAATGGGTGTCATTCTCCAGGGCTGCTTCCAACACACACATACATACAGAGAGGGAGAGGGAGGGAGAGAGAGAGAGAAACAAGGGAGAGAAACATGAGAGAGAGAAACATGAGAGAAAGAAAAACGAGAGAAAGAAAAACGAGAGAGAGAGAGAGAAATGAGAGAGAAAGAGAGACCACGGTTTCTTTTTTGAGTTGTTCAGAACCAGTTCTCACGGTCACTTTCAGATCCTCTCTGATGGCGAAGAGACCACACGAGAGCAAGCCCCAAGGGCAGCCTGGCCCTTTCTCCAACCTTCTCAAAATACCTTCAGAATCTCAGCAAGGGTTTTCAAGATGGAGGGAGGGGTGAAATAATGGCAGATAAGGGTCCTTGGACAGGGGAAATGCTTTGTTATGATTCACTCTGGTAATGGCATGTGAGAATGACCTTGGGAGACAGGGTGAAGGGAAGCTGCCAAGGGAACGTTCAGATAAGAGAATGCATAGCCCACAGTTGGATAATGGGTGGGGCAAAAGACTCAGGAGGGAACCTCTCTAGTTTCTCATCCTGTAAAGCAAACATCTGTAATGATACGTGGGACAGGCCTTGGGAGACACACTGAACAGATGTTGCCTAGGGAATGGTCAGATAAGAGAGTGCATAGCCCACAGCTGCATAATGGGAGAGAGAAACTCAGAACAGACTCTCCCTAGTTTCTCAGGCTGTATAGGAGGGGGCTGAAATAGTATATGAGAAAGACCTTGTGAGAAGGAGGGAAGAAATGCTGCCTATAGAATAATCCGATAAGGGACAGCCTAGCCCAGCGCTGCATAATGGGTGGGGCATGAAGCTTGGGAAGGGCTCTCTCTAGTGTCTCATCCTGCAAAGGAGACAGCTGTAATGGCATGTGAGAAAGACCTTGGGAGATGCTGCCTAGGGACTGGCCAGATAAGAGACAGCGTAGCCCAGAGCTGAACAATGGGTGGAGAAAGACACTCAGAAGGGACCCTCCCTAGTTTCTCAGGCTGTAAAAGAGGTGGCTGTAATGCTTGTGAGAAAGACCTTGGGAGATGGAGGGAAGAGAGGCCGCCTATGGAACGGTCAGATAAGAGATAACATAGCCCTCAGCTGTATAATGGGTCAAGCAAGAAGGTCAGGAGGGACCTTCCCTAAGTTACCAGGCTGTAAAGACGTGTTTCAGATGCTGCTACAAGCTTATTTTGTGATTGTGGTTGTTCTTGTTGCAGGGTCTGCTCATCCGAACTCCACTCCATTCGGAACCTCGCCTCATCATAGCAGCTTCCTGCCCACCAGCCATTTGGCAGGTAGGTGTAAGTAAACCTTATTCTTCTGATTTACCAGTCCTTTGATATAAGCCTTGACTTCTCCTGCATCAGAGCCCTGGTGGCGCAGCGGTTAGAATGCAGTATTTGCAAGCTAACTCTGCCGACTGCTGGCAGTTCGATCCTGACCGGCTCAAGGTTGACTCAGCCTTTCCATCCTCGTGAGGTCGGTAAAGTGAGGGCCCAGATTGTTGGGGGGCAAAAGGGTGACTCTGTAAACCTCTTAGAAAGGGCTGTAAAGCGGAATATAAATCTAAGTGCTATTGCTATTGCAATCAGGACCTAGGAAAGGAAAGGAAGACTGGTGTGTAGAAGGCGTTGATAATTTTATGTACCAGAAGAGCAATTGCTACGTAACATTCCTGGCGTGGAAAATACCTTTATAGATCAGATTTTAGAATAGAACAGGATCCGAAGAAAATTACCCTCTTAAGCTGGGGGTGGGTGGGGGAAAAAAAACACCTTCCTTCTAAATGAAACGGATTTATTTGCCATTGGAAAAAGCAGTATCTGAAAATCCTGATCGTGTTTCTGAAGCAACGTTTTGAGTATCTCCCAAGTGGGAGACCCAGATTTGAAGAGGCGATGTCCCAACTTTCAACCAGGTCACCCCCTCCCATTTGTAGGTCACACCTTCTGCTTTAAACTGTGTTTGGCTTTTTTGGGTGGGCAATTTAGGGCAAATGGTAAACCTTCAACTACCTTTGTTAGGCCAGGGGGAGGACAAAATAATTAATCCACAATCCAGACACATTTAAGGCAAGTTGTTGATGCAGCTTGTAAAAAAAAAAGGAAGTGTCCGTTGCAACTTCCAGCTGGCCATTTAGCCAGAAGTAGATCAGAGTCTCTGTGACATAATTCACAGACTTTCATCAGGCGCGCAACCCCGGCCCTAACCATCTGGATTGGCTTTAAATGAAGCTTAGGAGAGTCATCCTTCTGGCCTAATTAAATTATTAATCGGTCTATTCCCGGAGAGAACCGGGTCTTCATTTTCACAAGTGCCAATTTGTTATTTGGAGCCGGTCAAGCGAGGCTACGCTCATGAGCAAGAATTGGAGCTTCAGCCGTGACTCCCCATCGCACACCTGTGCGGGTCTTGTTTGTGCTGCCGAAACCAGTCGAATTTTGCTCTTTGGGATCAAAGGGTTTTTAGTAGATTCTGAGCCTCCAAATGCAGATCAAACTTAAAAGTGATAGAGACAAGGTAGGCGCTACAAGGATCCGATTTTAATTCAAGAATGTGGTTTCAAGGTGATGCCGCTGTCCTTTGCCACCCGCAAATGTCATTTCTAGATTCGGTTCAGTTCTTGCTCCTGGGACCCACAATATGTAATTTAACCAAGACAACCAAGAAGGGGGCCAGGGGGAGAGAGAAGGAATCATTTAGTGACCGTTCAAAGCTACAGGTGTTTCACACCTGCAACCGTTGCAGCATCCCCGTGGTCACGTGATCAAAATTCAGACCCTTGGCGACTGACTCATATTTACGACGGTTGCAGTATCTTGGGGTCACGTATTTCTCCCCCCCCCCCCTTTTTGCAACCTTCTGACCAGCAAACCTTAATGGAGAAACCAGATTCACTTTCAAACCAGCCACTTTACCGGCTTCGCAGCCGCAGTGATTTGCTTCGCAGCTGCGTCGAGAAAGGTCGTAAAATGGGGCAAAAGTCACTTAGCAACTGTCTCGCTTGGCAGGAGAAATTTTGAGCTACAGTTGTGACTGTAGGTTGAGGGCGACGCGCATCTGAAATGTCCCAATTGTGCTCCTCCTGGTGGGTCCTCCATAACACGTCCCACCAGCAACCAGTTTCCAGCTTCTTGTTTTGCTCTTGCAAATCTGAGCTGCTCAGATTTCAGTTCAGGAGCTGCCTTTAGTCATCCCGGCCTCAAACATTTGCTCTTCTCCTGGCAGGCTTAACTCCAGCACCTGTTAGCAAGTCCTCCGATCCGCTCTCCGTTTTCAACCCGTTGAGAATGTCCTGCGCAAAGGGCCCGCGGGGAGAAGGATTAGCTGAAAGCCCGGCCTAATCCCACTTGGATTCAAACCATGAAATAAACAAAGAAATAAACAAGGGGGCGGGTAGGAAAAGGGGGTAGATTTAGTCTTCCAGCATTCTTGGCTAAATGCCGGCTAAAACCCTGTTTGCCTTTCCAGATCCGTTTAGCAGGTCAAGCACCTTCAGCGGCCTTGGAAACTTAAGCAGCAATGCCTTTGGCGGATTAGGCAGTCATACTTTGAGTAAGTACGGATGGGGTCCTGCAGACTAGCCTCTTTCCCAGAGAAGACCCATGTTCCTGTCAAAAGCAGCCGGTGGCCATTTGTTTGAAGCAAGGCAAGCTTCTCAGAACATCCCCCAAAGAAAGGACCGAGGCTACAAATATGCCGAGTTTTCGTAGGGGACTTTCCGTAATTGATGTCCCAGATCCACCAGGAGTGGTGACTTCAGCTCACCTTCCATAGAAAAGGGGGAGCCCAGCAAATTAACCATGAACCTCCCCATTAACCATCCTTTGGGGGCGGGGTGTCTCGAGTCCAAGGTTTGAGGAAGTAGCTTCAGTGGGTTCTTCAGGATCTACCGTTTGGCAAGAAAAGCTTTGAGAAGATATCAGGAAAATCCCAAAGGTGTTTTTTCAAGAGGCAACTGGACTTTCTTGATTTTTCTTGGAAGACGTTTCGCTTCTCATCCCAGAAGCTTCTTCAGTTCATGAACTGAATAAGTTCTCATCCAAGAACCGGAGAAGCCAAAAAAGTCTAGTTGCCTCTTGAAAAAACACCTTTGGGACAACCATGGCCTGGAAGATTGAGACTCTCCGTAGACACATTAGGCAGATGCCCATAGCACCCATTGAATGGCATCACTATTGAAGTAAGAGGACATAAGACATTGCCTTGGGACAGGGTCAACCTTAGGGACTGTCTGCTTCCAGTCACTTCTACCTGTCCAGTCTGGTCCAGTAGGATGGACATACTCCATTCCCCTGAGCCAAGGAAGGTTGGCTGGTGGGCACCAGAAGTGTGTCTCTTCTGAGACCTAGACTGCGCTCTGGAACATCCTTCCTCTTGAGATTAGGATGGCCCCAACCCTGTTTGGCCTTTTGGAAGGTTTTTGAAGACCTGTTTATGTGCCCAGGCCTGGAGTCCCGAATGCATGAATGTTCCCGTTACCTGGTGACAATGATACCAATAGATTGTAATATTTCTTGGCTGCTGTTTGTATTTAATTTCTTTGTGTGTCATGTTCTCACTGTTTTTATTATTGATCGCTACCTGGACTCATTGGTTTGAGATACGCAACTATACAAATTGAATGAATGAATGAATGAGTGAGTGAATGAATGAATGAAAAAAGATAGATAGATAGATAGATAGATAGATAGATAGATAGATAGATAGATAGATAGATAGATAGATAGATAGATAGATAGATAGATAGATAGCAGAGAGAGAAATATGTATGATAGCTAATGGATGATTGGGATAGATAGACAGACAGACAGACAGACAGATAACAACCTTGGAGGTCTTCTAATCCAACACCTCTCTCTCTCTCTCTGTATGTGTGTGTGTGTCTGAAGTACAAGCAAAGAACCTGCATGTTATAACTATTTTCAAGCAATCATAGAATTGCAGGCATATTAGATTGGATCAATTCTGTAGTTTCGGTCAAGGCAATAGTCTCTCTCGATTCCATTTTGGAGGTTGGGGGGGAACCTGGATGATCACCCCGATATTTTGGACTGTCCTTGCTGTTGAGCACGCTGAGCTGCCGAGACCTGTTCCTTCATTGGATTGAGCTTTCTGAAAAAGAAGACCCGTTGGAGTGAGATTGATTAGGAAGGGGGCTGATATCTGAAGGACATCTCATTGCCCAGCAGAGGTCTGCAGCCAGGATCTAGTGATCCCATGATAGACATGTGAACGTAGAAAAGCTTGAGCTTTACTCTCTCACCTTTTCCAGCATAACGTATGCAAGCATGCGCAAAATGTACGATGGGGGAAGACAGAACACGCCAGGAAACACTGGAACGTTCTGGTTTTTTCCTTCAGACCACGCGGTCCTGGCTGATGGAAAGGTGTCCCAGCCATCCTTCGTATTCCTGAGTGGTTCACGTGGTCCTTGGGAAATAACTGCATGTCCTGATTGTTGTATCCAGAAAAGAAAAGCTAAACATAGACTGGCACTCTTGAATTCCACTCGGGCACAAGTAGGGGGCTGTTCCAGTGTTCTTATGTCTTCCAAAAATAGCCTGGAGGTCATTAGCCTCATGAGATGTTACAAGGGTTTCCTTAACTAGGCCCAGCTTTCTGGAGAGAAGGCCAGCTGGGTTGAGGCTCATAACACTAGAAAAAGAAGTCACTTGGAAGTGGTGAACTTTTTTGGAAGGAAAGTTAGTGTAACCAAAGAGACACCGGAGCACACGTTGCAATTTTTGTTGAGACCGGAACACTGTCTTAATTTGCAAAAGCATCTAGTTTATTCTGTAGACCCAGGGAAAAAAAAAAAGAGCACATGCCACAAAGCCCATCATCTGTCCATTCTTGGAGGTCCTGTCACGAATGCAAAAGACATCAAGTCGATAATGTTCTCCTTCAAGGAAGCTACATCACCTTCCTCAACATCTTGAGGTGCAGTGAGACAGGAACTCCCCAAATTGTTCATTGACCAGTTCAGTACCCTGTTCCTGTTAGGGATTTGGGAACGGCATTTTCACCACAAACTAGGGCAACGCCAGGCTCGGTGGCCAGCAGAATTATGAGTACCGATAAAAGAGTGTCTTTGTAGCTCAGGGTTCAACCGTAGGGTCCTTGATGCTCTCTGAGCTTGGTGGTCTTCTTGCAGAGGTTTCATGACCCAATTAGGTAACATTCTCAATGCTAGAAGGGAATGGAACAGAGAGCAAACCCCACCCCCTTCTAGCACTGATGATATTACCTAATTGGGTCATGAAACGTCTGCAAGAACAGAAGCAAGCTCAGAGAGCACCAAGGACTCCACAGAATTCTGCGTTGCTGATTGAACCAGGAGAGAGAGACGCGCGTTGGAGATCTGAATTATTCTACTTCGGCTCAGCCTATTCATAGCTCAATCAAAGATCTCAATCACCGCTTTATCTGCTAGGCAGCTGATCCTGTGTAATGAGTGGCATTCTCACAATAAGCATTGGGAGGAGTCACAATAGGCCCAGTTTAGCTCCAGATGTCACAGCGGGGCGCAGCGTGATTTTGAGATTCACCTGGAATTTTTTAGACCAAATGGCCTCATTACCTCCAAACAGTTATTCAGATTTCAAGGGTTTTCTTTGCCTGCCGTAACTTTCAATGGCTCCTTTTCAGTCCACCGAGCTGATTCACCATTGCTGTTTCCTGGGGTCGTGTTTCTGCCCCTCCCTTTCTCTTTTTTCCAGACCTAAAAAAGATAAAGGTGCTTTAAAATAATTGGCCTTTTTTTTTTTCTTTGCAAAAGCCAGTATCGGACTAAATGTCCTTTCATGTGCAACCGGGGGGGCATCCAGGAGCTAACGCAATCTGTCTCCGTTTCCCAGGTCACAGCAGCCTCTTTGCTCACAAAGATGGACCGGCAGTCCAGGGCTTCAGCAGCCCCCACGAGCCCTGGAACCGGCTGCACCGGACGCCACCCTCTTTTCCCACACCGCCTCAGTGGCCCAAGCCAGGCGACTCCGAGCGCAGTTCCTCCGTGACGAATCATGACAGGGACCGAGACATTGAAAAGAGGGATCTTTCCTCAAGTAAAGAAGAGAGAGAGAAGGAGAGGTAAGAGAGAGAGGGGGATGCCTTGCTGAAAAGCCATGGTGCTTTCAGGACGTTTGCAAAACTGGACTGGTGTACCTGGTTTGGGGGTCTAGTGTGTTGTGGGAACTCACCCTGTACCTACTTACTTCTTCCCTCCCTCCCTCCCTCCCTCCTTCTCTGTCTACCTTCCTTCCTTTTCTTCTCTCTCTTCCTCCCTCCCTTCTAATCTCTCCATCTTCCATCTCTTCTATTCTCCTCTCCTCTCTTCTTCCTTTCTCCCTTTTCTCTCCACCTTCCTCTTCTCCTCTTTTCTCTCTCCCCTCCCTCCCTACTTCTCTGTCTACCTTCCTTCTCTTCTCTCTCTTCTTCCCTCCCTCCCTTTCTTCTAATCTCTCCATCTTCCTTCTCTTCTCTCCTCTCCTCTCCTCTCTTCTTCCTTTCTCCCTTTTCTCTCCAGCTTCCTCTTCTCCTCTTTTCTCCTCCTCTCTCCCCTCCCTCCCTACTTCTCTGTCTACCTTCCTTCTCTTCTCTCTTCCTCCCTCCCTTTCTTCTAATCTCTCCATCTTCCTTCTCTTATCTCCTTTCCTCTCTTCTTCCTTTCTCCCTTTTCTCTCTCCACCTTCCTCTTCTCTTTTCTCCTCATCTCTCCTCTCCCTCCTTCTCTGTCTACCTTTCTTCCTTCTCTTCTCTCTTCTTCCTTCCCTCCGTTTCTTCCACTCTCTCCATCTTCTTTCTCTTCTCTCCTCTCCTCTCTTCTTCCTTTCTCCCTTTTCTCTCCAGCTTCCTCTTCTCCTCTTTTCTCCTCCTCTCTCCCTTCCCTCCCTCCCTCCCTCCCTTCCTTCCTTCCTCTCTTTTTTTTCATGCTGTCCATCTCGCTACTAAAGCAACTTAGCCTGGGGTGTGAATCCATCCACCACATTAGTGTTAATAATAATAAGATGTCACCTAAGGTGAAATTTTTTGGGTCACACACGGCATATACATACTTAATATATGTATGTAATTGGTAAACCAGTTTTATCCATGCTGTTGAATTATAATGTGAAATGGTTACATGTGACCCTAATAGATTCAAATCTCTCTCCCTCCAGGGATCTTCTGGATAAAAGTAGGCACTCGAACCGTTCCTCGCCCGCTTCCGCACCCGTGACTCACCAGATCAGTAACCTCATCCGTAGCAACAGCCAGGCTGCAAGCGATTCTATCCGGCAAGTTGCCCTCCTCGACCGAGACAGATCGAAAGATCTGGAGAGAGAGATTCCTGACCGGCTCAGAGATCCTCCTCCGGTGGCAGACCAGAAGATCAAAGAAAGCCGCTCCCCTGTGAAGGAACCTCCAAGCCATGAAAAGAGATCCCTGGAGGACAACACCAAGCCGGTAATCCAGTCGGTCTCTCCATACAGCAAACCTGCCTTGAGCGAAAGCTTGAAACTCAGCAACCTGATGAACAAGGACGTGGAGAGAAAGCCAGAGCTTCTGACGGACCTCCAGAAGATCAAGAACGACATCAAAGTCAAAGAAGAGCGTAAAGAGGAAGGTGACGTCTTGGTTGTGAGTTCAGAATCTTCACAGCATCCGAGAGGCACCGAGCACCCACCACCCCCTTCTTTGCACGGGTTACCCCTGCCCCACACCATGGCCACCACCATGCCCATCTCCATGGGCAGCGTCCATCAGATGAACACCATGAACGTTCTGGAACGTAGCCGGATGATGACCCCGCTCATGAGCATGAACTCGCTCACGGGACGGGAGAGGCTACCCCACCCAGGGTTCTCCTGGGACCCCATGAGGGACCCCTTGCGCGACGCCTACCGGAGCTTAGACCTCCACCGCCGGATGGACTTCCAGCTCCGAGCAGATCCCATCCATAGGTTTCCCACCACTTCGGGATTTTACGATCACGAGCGCTCCTACCGAGACCGCGAGCCTCACGACTACAACCACGAGAACCTTCTGGAAGCCCGCCGGGAACAGGAGCGGCTCCGGCAAGCGGAAGAGAGGGAGAGGTTGCACTTACGGGAAGAACTCGAGCGTGCCAGAATGCACCACTTGCACACGTCCCCCATCGAAAGCCACCTGGCCCACATGCCTTCCTTCATGTCTCACCTCAGCAGCATGCATTACCCCAGACTCAGCCCTTCGGCCGCCATGCACAACGGGATTTTGAACAGGAACCCGCCCACCGCCGCGCTCAGCGCCCCGCCCCCATTGGTCCCAGCTAGTAGTACGAGACCCTCCTCCCCCCGTCGGACTACGCCACTCACGAACCCGGAATCCCGGGATTATTCCCCTTCTAAAAATCCCAAAGAAGTCGAAGCACGATAATTCCTGGCCCCCCCACCTACCTGCAGGATGAATTTTTTTTTCCAAACTCACCTGTGAAATACAGGAGGACGGGGGGAAGCACCCACCCACCCATATTTTGTTTTGTTTTGTTTTTAAAATGCACTGCTGTAAACTTTTTTTTACAACTGTAAAAATTTGTAGAAATGAAGCACAGTTGCAAAAGCGATGGAGGGGAGGGGACTGGGGGAGGCGTGGAAGGGGGCGTCCGAGGTTAAAAATCTTCTGACTGCACGGTTGCTGGAAAAAAACATGGAAATTTTAATATATAGGTCTTGATTTTTTTTTCTTGTTTCCTGGTTTTATTTTTTTCTCCCTCTTTGCTTCTGTGCTGAGTTAAACTATTATCAGGTTTTTGTGTGTATGTATACATATATATATATATGTGTGTGTGTGTGTGTGTATGTATATATATATACATATATATATATATATATATATATATATATATATATATACACACACATACATATATATATATACATATATATATTGCCCCAAATGCCAGGAACATTTTTAATGAATGTATTGTTTTTTTTAAAAAAAAATTGTGCTTTTTGTTCACACACACACACACACACACACAAAGAAAAGAAAAAAAAGTTTTGTTTCTAGTTTAAATTTTGTGGCCTCAGATCCTTAAGTAAAAAAAAACAAAAAAAACCATCCAGGGTTTCTTAAAAGTATTATTTATGGAGATAACTGTAATTTCATACAGTCCACTGTGAGGTTCCTGAATTAAGGCCACGGTTTCTCTGGTACTTTGAAATTGAAGTTACAGATATATATATATATTAAAAAAATAATTAATAATAATAATAATTAATAATAATGTACAAAAACTGTTTTGTTTTTTGCCTTATATTATGGAGAAAAATTAGAATTTTTTTTTTGACTTCTTGTTTTAAAAACAGCAACAGAAGAAAGCAACATGTAAATATTCTGTTAATATAAATGTACACCAATATTGAATTCTTAACATAGGTAGACTTTATAAAAAAAAAAACGGTTTCTAGAACCACTCTCTGGTTATTGGTTAACGTTATTCCAACTCAACCCTCTTCAGTGTCTCTAGGGGGGAAAAAAAGAATTACTGATACAAATGCAATGTAAGCATTCATTAGAGTGTATAATCTAATTGTATACATTTCTTGCGTATGCGAGAATCTTGGAAGCAGTCTTATTAATACAGGTAATCCTTGGCTCCTGGGGAGGAAAGCTATGGCAAATCTAGACAGCATACTAAAAAGCAGAGACATCACCCTGCCAACAAAAGTGCAAATAGTCAAGGCCATGGTTTTTCCCAGTGGCAATGTATGGCTGTGAAAGTTGGACCATAAGAAAGGCTGAGCGTCAAAGAATGGAGGCCTTTGAACTCTGGTGCTGGAGAAGACTCCTGTGAGTCCCCTGGACTGCAAGGCCATCAAACCGGTCAGTCCTAGAGGAGATCAACCCCGACTGCTCTTTAGAAGGAAGGCCAGATCCTGAAGTTGAAACTCAAGTACTTTGGCCACCTAACGAGAAGGAAGGACTGACTGGAGAAGAGCCTAACGCTGGGAAAGATGGAGGCAAGAGAAGAAGGGGACGACAGAGAATGAGATGGCTGGATGGAGTCACTGAAGCAGTAGGCGTGAGATTAAATGAACTCCAGAAGATGGTAAAGGACAGGAAGGCCTGGAGGAACGTTGTCCATGGGGTCGCGATGGGTTGGACACGACTTCTCAACTAACAACAACAACACTCCTTGGCTAGGTAACATCATCAGTGATAGAAGGGAGTGAGGTTTGTGGAGAAGAGGAGGAAGACTACGGGGCTCTTGGTCCTCTCTGACCTTGATTGTTATCTTGCAGACGTTTCGTGACCAAACTAGGTAACGTCATCAGTGCTAGAATGGAGTCATGTTTTCAAAATGAAGGAGGACTGTGATGTCCTTGGTGCTGTCTGAGCTTGGCTGTTTTCTTACAGACATTGCATGACCCGATCAGAGAACATCATCAGTGCTATCAGATTAACCCCACTCCCTTCTAGCACTGATGATGTTACCTAGTTGAGTCATGAAATGTCTGCAAGAAAGCAGCCAAGCCCAGAGAGCACCAAGGAGCCCACACAGACAGATGTTTTGTGCAGAAATCTTTCAACTGGCTGGTCGGGCAGAAAAACTGGGAAGCCACGATTGAGTTTCTGCCCCAAACAGCTCTACCTACAGCTGGAACAGAGAGACAAATCATAACCATTTAGCTCCGTGTACGGTACCTACCCTGGGTAGAGTAACAGATGCAAACTTTCTGAATTCAGTGTCACAAGCCACTCCACCCCACCAAGCTTGATAAAGAGTCCACAGCAGGCTACATGAGATTCAGTTGGTCTTCCTCAAGTTTTCCTTGGTGCTTTTTGTTGAATTCCTCTGGAATTATCTTCTCTAGAAGCAGCGAATTTCAGGAGCAGACTGGACTCTCCATGCAAATGTACCCCAACATCTCAATGGCTAGTTGGAGATTTTATGGACTGTGGTTGCATTGCATTGATGATGGATGGGTTCATTTCTCCCATGGTCCATCGGCGTTTGATGCTAAGCAGGGAGAAGACATCAATTTTCCCTTTGCAGGGTCTAGCAACTTTGGGATCTTGGGCTAAAGAAGTTGTCTGTGATTCAGCTCCACCGGCAAGATCACTGACCCAACCTTTGTGTTTTGGTGTGTGATTTTTCTACCGAAGACACCCGAGGAGTGAACCAAAAGCTGTAGCAATTTGCTGTTTTATCTGTCAAGTCACTACAGAGGTCCCCAACCTTTTGAGCAGCAGGGACCAGTTCCGTGGAGAGAGGTTTTTTCCCACGGACCGGAGGGTGCGTGGTTTTGTGTGCTGCCTGCATCTCACGGATGGGGCTTTGCTTGTTTGTGCAGACCGGTTGCTGGCATGCCGTGGCCTGGTACTGATCCACGGCCCGGGGCTTGGGGTCCCATGGTCTAGTCCAGGGGTAGGCAACCTTGGCTCTTGTATGATTTGTGGACTTCAACTCCCAGAATTCCTGAGCCAGCCATGCTGAGGGGAAAGGGAGAGGTTTCCAAACTGAGCCATGCTGGCTCAGGAATTCTGGGAGTTGAAGTCTACCGGTCATCAAAGAGCCAAGGTTGCCTACCCCTGGATTAGTCAATCTCCTCTCCTGTTTTTTCTTTTTTTTTTTCTGGTATTTGTTTTTTCTTCCTTGACCCATTTCAAACATCCTTTCCCAGCCTCCCCAGCCATCTAAACCATTCCACTTCCTGGCAGATGGCTGAAGATAAACCCAACATTGACTTCGGAGGGGGAAAAAGATAGTGAAACATCTGGTGGGTCAAATCAAATCGGAGCAGAGGGTCTGCCAGGAAGAAAAATGGAAAATAAATGGCTTATTGACCAACCCGCTCAGTCTATTAACGCTGTGAGACCTCTGACTGATGTGGGTCATTAAAGAGTCATGCAGTTCAGAGGGGCACATGGGTTATGTGCCTGGCTTGACGTTCCATCGACCTACTAGGACAAACTGGTGCAACCGGTTTTCTCCGGTTCTCAATGTTCTCTGGCCGATATTCCAACCCCGAACTAGGTAACGTCTTCAGGGCGTGGGAAAGTGAAGTTTGTTGGATGTTTACATATGGTGGCTTGCCCTGTTAGTCTTGGTTGGGGTGTGGTTTCCTTGGTGGTTATTCTGCCTTTCTGGATCACTTAGCTGGTGCTGTTTGTCACTTATCTGGGTGTTACTAAGAAGGATATGGTTGCCTCCTTCTTCGATGTATGTCAATTCTTCCAAGGAGACCTGGCTAGGAGGTTATGAATGAGGGGTCCTTGGTGCTCTCTCAGCTGGATTGTTTTTTTGCAGATGTTTCATCACCCAACTAGGTAACAACATCAGTGCTAGAAGGGAGTGGAATTTATGGAGAGGAGGGAGGGAGGGAGGGAAGGAAGGAAGGAAGGAAGGAAGGAAGGAAGGAAGGAAGGAAGGAAGGAAGGAAGGAAGGAAGGACTATGGGGTCCTTGGTGCTCTCTGAGCTTGGTGGGTTTCTTGCAGATGTTTCATTACCCAACTAGGTAATATCATCAGTGCTAGAAGGGAGTAGAATTTATGGAGAGGAGGAGGGAGGGAATGAAGGAAGGATTATGGGGTCCTTGGTGCTCTCTGAGCTTGCTTGTTTTCTTGCAGACGTTTCATTACCCAAACTAAGCAACATCATCAATTTTAGAAGGGAGTGAGGTTTGCAGGGATGGGGAGGAGGAGGAGGAGGAGGAAGACTGTAGGGTCCTTGATGCTCTCTGAGCTTGTTGGTCTTGCAGATGTTTCATGACCCAACTAGGTAACATCATCTGTGCTAGAAGGGAGTGGGCTTTGTGGACAGGAGAAGGAGAGAATGACAACTGTGGGGTCCTTGGTGCTCTTTGAGCTTAGTGGTTTTCTTGCAGATGTTTCATGACCCAACTAGGTAACATCATCAGTATTAGAAAAGAGTAGAGCTGAGGAGAGGAGGAGGAGGAGGTAGTTAGGTCCTTGCTGTTCTCTGAACTTGGTTGTTTTCTTGCAGACGTTTCGTTACCCAACGAGGTAACATCCTCAGTGCAGAGTTATGAATGCTGATACTATTTTTAATTCCAAGATTATATAATCTGGCAAGGCTGAATATCCTTCCCCCTCCCTTCCTTTGCTTATTCTGTGAAAACTAGAGAGGATCACCTCTGAGACGCTTTTTCAAGTTACAGTTCTTCTCCGGACTCTGTTATTCTATTATGCAGAGCTTTAATCAAACTCTAAAGCAGTGGTTCTCAACCTGTGGGTCGGGACCCCATTTGGGGTCGAACGACCATTTCACGGGGGTCACCAAACAGCGCAGTCCGCCATTTTTCCCCCCTTTTCCTTAGCTGTGCTACTCCCTTTTATTCTATTGGCTTTTGAAAGCCAATAGAATACACTCTCTTGAATAGAGTCTAATTCTATTGGCTTTCGAAAGCCAATCGGAATTGTCCAGGCTGTCTCTGCCCTGCTGAGCCCGCCAAAAATCCCATTCTGCAAACGGTGCTGCACCAGTTGAGTAGTCCTCGACTTACGACTGGTTGAGTAGTCCTAGACTTAACGACTAGTTGGGGGTCGCGGCATTAAAAAGGTTGAGAACCACTGCTCTAAAGTATTATGGAGATTTGATCCTTCTGGCTCAAAATTGCACAGTTACGGGGCCTCAGACGATCCAAGTTGCTGACTCTCTTCCATTTGACACCTAAGAGCAACTTGGCTTTGATTGCAGGGGCTGAGGGGATTTCAGTAATCGAACCAATCTCGTTTTTGGAGGGTTTTTTTTGTTTGTTTTTTGAAACCGCTTCCTGAGACACAGCCAAAACGAGTTTGCCTAACATGGATCAATTAACTGCAGGTTAATTCATCATCCCGTCATCATCCAGCTTTTTTGTGAGGCTCAGCGCTAGCTCCAGAAAGAGCAGTTGCCTCTTTTCCAACTATTCAAAGGCAAAATAATAATAATCTCAAAAGAGGTCTAGTTCACTGCATCTAACGCAGAGCAAGGAAAGAGAAAGGACTTGAATACAGAGCATTGGTGACTCTTCGCCGAAGCGATGAGGATTTTTGCCAGCTGAGCAATTCCCCCTTCGCTGCCTCTTCCAATTTCCTCAAAAACCCCTGAAGGAAATTGCAGCACATCAAAGACCACCGTTGCCGTGGCTGAATTCGCCCCCTTATAAAAAAAGCTGCCAGGATCGATATTTTATCAGGCTCACGCTGTTTTCTAGCCGCCAGAAAAAAAGGACTCGGGCGAGGAGTAGCAAGGATAAAATTGCAGGTTTCCATTTTGTCAAGTAACGGAACATCCAAACTCGGGGAGAAAAAAGGAAGCAGACGTGCTTAGCGGCTTTATGTCAAGGAAAGCTACACACAGCTTAAGCAGATTGTAACCCACCCGCAATCCCTCGGCTTACGGCCCCAAGGGAGCCCGATATTTCTGTTGCTCAGGGAGACGGTTGTTAACTGAGTTT